TATACAAGGGTCGTGCCACCACCTGCTGTCAGCAGAACAATGTCTCTGTATTAATGGCAACAGAGTCACATAAACATCTGTCCCGCTGCACATAAGGACCAAAGTCTGCCAACCACCACCAACCAGGGTAGCAAGCACTCTTCTACCCAAGGCAAAGCAACATCTATTCAATCTACAAAAGGGTGAAGCCCACAGGGTCTTAATGCTCTGTCTAAAGCACAGCCTCCTATCACCACCACCACCACCAAAAAAACCCTGTCAAATTTAAATGTACAGAAGCCCTTGAAAAAGTCTATTTAGACATTAATAAATCAAAATTCTTAAACCCTAACTTTGGAGCACAGTTCAGGACAGCCGTATAAGAAGGGGCATTCACCAAGAATTTATCAAACTACAGTAACCTAGACTGTTCATGGAATTGAGAACTCAATGGATATATTTCTTTAGGAGTATTTAAGTAATTTTAAATCATTTTCCAGTGAGAAACACTGCATATAAGACAGCTAAATCTGAGCTGTCCAGACAGACGCCTGCACGACTGACGGAGGGCAGGGAGCCCCGGATCGCGAGCAAGACTGCGAGCAGCAGGGTGAGAGGGCAAAAACAGGGGCCCAGGTCCCTCTGGGGGGCCGCCGGGCGCTCATGCACGCTCCCGCTCCTGTGCTGGCTTCATCCACGTGAGGAGTCGGCGGGCTGGGGAGAAGCAGACAGACGGCACAGCCTGGTGGGCCCAGCGAGCAGCTCGGCGGCCTCCCTGGCCCCTCGGCAGGAGCAGCGCGGGCAGCCCCGGGCGGCTGCGGTGGGAAAGCCGGGGCCAGAGCAGACACAAGGACCACCAAGCTAAACGAAGCAATTTTTTTATTTTTCATAACTCCTTTATAGGTAGTACGTGGTTCATCACAGTCAACCACGACCTGAAGCGACGACCCCTAGAGAGCCCTTCCTTCCAACGGCCCCACAGCAGAACCTCCCACAGGATGGCCTCCTGGTAAAGGGGGGCCATCCCTGGAAACATCCCCGGAAAACACCACGCTACACTTCATACCCAAGTAAGGACCTGGCCGATCTACTTTCTCATTAAAGTGCACAATACTACTTATAAATAGAGAATTGTTGGGGGGGAAATTCAAAACACAGAGGATTGAAAAAAGGTCTTCACAAGTGCCCCACACGGTTTTACGATTCCATCAGGTGCTGATTTCCACCGCTTTGTCCCTCTGCTCTGGAACAAACCTGGACTTCGCACTTCAGAGCTAAGAAACTTGGACCTGAAGGCAGGCACCCCACCCTCCCTGGCACTTACCACCTCCCTCCCTCCCTCCCTGCAGCCGGCCAGGGCCACCTCAGCACCTACCCACTGCCCCTCACCCCTAACAGCACAGTTCCCATCCTAAATCCTGACTCCCTGCCCTCGGGCAGCAAACAGGTTCATCTCTCCTTAAGGCCTGGAACCATTGGTCGCTCGCTTGGCCCACCCCACCCCCACCTCTCACCACACCCGCTCCCCCCACCTCTCACTTTCTACCTCAATGATGACCAGTCTGCTCCATCGCTGAGAGTAGCCTCTGCAACCCTCCCTCCCGCAGCCACTCACATAAACGACCTCCACGTGACCATCTGTGCCCTGACTGCCGCCAGCAGCCTGTTTCCAGTCTCCTTGCACCACCCGCAGTGGGCACCATCTCTGCCGTGACTCTGCAACGCCCTCCAACCCCCCGAGCCAGTTCCCCGCCGCCTCTGAGGCCTGTGCAGCCTCCTTGGCTCTTCCTGGTTCTCAACACTGCTGCACCCAAAGGTCCTGACGCTCGTCCTCCCTGCTGCTCTGTGAAGGATCTCCCACTCCCTTCACTTCTATCTCCCAGAACCCCATGTTCACCCCCAATCTAACCTCATTGATTCATTACAAAAAGAAACAGCAACTTTACACCGAGAAGATTGGGCAGACACCACCTTAACAGAGTGATCACAGTGAACTCCCCCAAAGTCTGAGTGGACTGGGGGCCACTTTCCTACCATTCCTACCAAGTGCGCAGGCTGCATGTCCTCATGGGGGGCATCCGACAGACAGACCCAATGGAGGGGCGTTTCAGAAGTAACTGATCTATATACGCTCCAAACGTGCCAAGTTCACGAAAGACAGAAAAAGCTAGGGGGCTGTTTCAGACCAAAGATGAGTGAGGACAACCACACGCGACGTGCTTGAACACGTCAACCAGGGGCGCTACCGAGACAACTAGCAAGCGTGAGGACGGACAGCAGGCTAGACAAGAGCAATGGGGCAGTGATTTCGAAAGCTGTGCTGTAGTTTTATAAGACATTCTCCTCTAAGAACCACAGCAGAATTTCAAAATTCTTGATCCCAAGAAAACATATAATGACGTATTCGGGGATATATCTGGGTACAATGTCTGCAAGTGCTCTCAAATGGCTCAGAAGAAATGTTTAAACATACACACACTCTTAAACGGGGGGGGGGGTGTACAGACAGAGAGAGCAAGAATAATAAATGGGACAAATGTTAACAACTGGTGAATCCTGGTAAAGGGCATATGGAATTCTTTCAACTACTCTTGTAGCATTTCCGTACTTCTAAAATTATATCAAAATAAAGAGATACAAAAAAGAAAGCAGATTACAAAAATTATGACTAGGAATTGATAACTGACTCATTTAACATACCATTCTAAACAATCAAGCGTATTTGATACAAAATACACAACATATTTTAACAAGGTCTACTTGCTAGTCTTTTGAAACCCTAGAAGACAAATCATATTTTAAAAAGACATCAACTTAACATATTATCAAGTTAAATGTGATCATTACACCCTTTTCAAGGCACGAAACTAAATAATTACTCAATTCCTTCTCAGCTCAATGAATAGCAGATCTCCAATATTGCCAAAATTAAAAATTAGGTCAGAATTGGGTTCCCAGAAACTAATTTTCTCAATTAGTACTAACAACGTAGCTTAGTTTAACCCCATTGCCAGGCTCCTTCCCCTACACTCAAAGCTGATCCACTTAAAGGAAGGGCCACTTAACGCAGTTCAGCCAGCCAACAAATGATTCCAACAGGAACAGCTAGTCACAAGAGAACCCCATGAAATAGAATATTCTAAGTCAAGATCAAGATTTACCTTTCTTTAAATAAGGAATTCTTCCCTTCGGCAACACTGTCCTAGTGCTTATCATTTTTAGATGACAGGTTTTCCAAAGCTTTATCTAAATAATTTATAAAAACATTTCATGTGTGTATCTTTAGACAAACTCTGTTTCCAAACTCCTAGAATACTGTTTCCCTCTACAAAACACTCTTCAGAATTGCATTCTCGTAAAACAGAGACTTTAAAATTGGCTACAATATATGCATGGTAACTTTCACTGGTTTTTCCCTACATATATAATGATGTTTTGATAGCTCCATATGGCCTGTTACTTTTTAAATCTGTCTCAAAGTTTCTCAACATATTTCTTCTACTTTTTTCCCCCTAACAAAAACTGGAGCAAAAATTAGACTGCAACACTCGAAGGGAGAATCTTTAAAAAGGCAGGTCTAAGAAAATATGTGCCTCTTTAACAACCAAAAAGAATTTATTGAAGATACAAAATTGATCACTGGGAGGAAGACAGATGGAGGCTGGGGCAGGGGAGGACTTGGTTAACCCCGAGAGCTCTGCCCTACACGGTGTCGCGCTCATCAGGACCACCTTGGGGAACTCGGGGCTGCGTCGGAGACGTGTCACTCTACACAGCGTCTCACAGCTCACTTTCTATTACAGGAATGTATTAGCCTGAAAACAGAAGAACGAGTTACCTCCCACTCCATCCCTTAAAACCCCACAATTTCACCAGCCACAAGGAATTCGCTCACACCCACGCGCGTCAGGGCAGCAGCTCTTGGCTCCGCTGGAAGGAAGTTGAGCCCCGTCCTACATCTTGGAAATGGCTGAATATCTATGTTCTGTTGGCTTATCATCTGTCTTTTTCTCCCAAAAAGGCCCCTGTCCCCCAGAGAGGACTAACTAAAGATGGCCAGAGCGGGTTAAATTACATTTCCTGGAACTTCCTACACTGTCAGGAGCTCATCAGATCCGGAGGGAGGGCGCACGACACGAGCAGCCGTGACAATGTCCACCAAGGACACGGCTGGGGGCTCAGTGAGCAGTGGACACTCCTGAGTGTCAGTCCATCCACCCACAATCCACATCCCCGTTTTACATTTGGAGAGACTCAGAGAGGGTAAGTGATCTGCCTGAGAGCAGCCAAAGCCTGGCCTGGGTCCCCCTGCCCCAGCTCTCCCACACACAGGAAACCTGCCCCACGCTGCGCTTGCAGCCCACCAAGGCAGCCACCGTCCCCGAGGAGCAGACCGGCAGCTCTAAGCCGCGGGGCCGCGTCCTGACGCGCAGGCTTCTCCACCTCAGCCAGCGAGGAAGCGGGCGCTTTGTAGCTATAACAGAGCCCGCTCAAACTTAATTCCTACCACTAATGAATAATTCAGTAGAAAGGAAATTTTCGTATTTTTACACCGGTAAAATTCTTTGAAGAGTAAACATCTTGCTACATTATCTACACTTGAACAATACAGTAATCCACAAAGAGCAAATCAGAGAACTCCAAATCAGCCTTAAGGAAAGTCTGTCAAAAATTGAATGTAATTATGTTACAAGGAGAAAATGATTCAGCTTCTTGATAAAGTGCACTTCTCAACTTTTTCCCTTCTCACCTACGGAACATTGCTATATCGCAATTAGCGAATGCCCCATTGTCCACTAAATGTCTCGATTTATTCAACCCTCTTCTACAATGGTGTAAAAGAAATTTTAAATTTTCTAGGTAACACTGTGGTGTCACAAAAGAAATTAGAATTCCATTTCTAAAGAAGATTGTTACTTTCTCTCAAAACATGCTTTAGAAACCTGCAGAGATAAAGTACTTTCAGCCATAATTAAGTCATCTATGAAAACAAACAAATTATTCAGCTGTTAAAAGGATATAATTTGGAGGAAGAAAGTTCCAGCTCAAGACTTGGTTGGCGAGAGCAAGGTACCGCTGGAAAACTGAAGACATCTGAGCACTGAGGGTCTCCCGCCTGCTGAACTCCTGCAGGACCTCAACAGTTAACATGAAGATCTGACGAAGGTCTTCTTCCTAAAGTCGATAAACCACAAATATTCTTCTATCGAAAGCTTATTCAAAATACATCCTTTTTAGAACCATAAAACAAAACAAACGAACAAAAACCTTAAAACTTCCGATGGAAAACATTATTTCTCTAAGAGCATTTTCCATTGCAGGCCTGCTCTTACTTTACACTGCAGAATGCTTTTCAAGTGATGCCGGTATGAACACACTGACGGTAATGTAAGTGCTGTTCCACAGAGAAGCAAGTCTCCGACACTGACTACTACGGAGCTGAAGGGGTCGGCTGCTCTAGTGCAGAGCCCTTGGATTCAAACCAGTGCCTTCACATAACTCTACTTCAGAGCCAAACAATACACACGAAACAAAGAGCCCACACCATCTGCAATAACACTTAAATACACAGCCCTCCTCGGCATTCTGCCAGGCCTATTTTTAAGGCCAGCAGAGTCCCACCAATTGAATTAGTTCTATCTAAACACAGTAAGAACAAAATTAATAAACTAAGGCTCTTAAGAGTGGTATTTCCTTTTTGTTTTGTTTAAGGACTAGAATTAAACAAACAATCATAAGCCGTCAACTGTGTTCATCAAACCTACCACTTTACCGTATCTCCTGAAATCACAATACAAATTTCCCAGTACTGACTATCATTCAACTAGATCAAATAAGCGTTCTCACACCAGCAGAAACAGAGTAAAAGTGAATGGTCTAATGGTTGAAACAGGAGAATAAAAATACCAGTACCTGGAAAACTCTCTTGCAGTTGCCATGGAATTCCATGCTCAGTCCAATGTTGCTAGTTTTACTGGAACTTGAGAACTCACTCAACAGTGCAGTTAGAATAGAGCACGCCAGAGTTTGCTGTAAGTGTTTGACAACAAACAACCGTGAGGCATTATTTCTCCACTGCAGTGTTTCAGTGCAGTATGTGTTCAAACACAATAAACATTTCCATGTTTAGATATTCCACTGTGTCTTCAGATCTTATACCTACCAGCCAGAAAATCAGACAGGACAAGATTAACTCTCCTTTCCAAGGGGTCTCGAAATTGTTAACAGTGCCTCCTCAACTCCAGTCACACAAGCCCGTGAGACTTGAACTCAAGACACACTCCTCCTCAAGCACAGAGTATAAATGACACTTTGAGATGATCAATATTTAACGTATTATTTCATTTAGTTCACACGACAATCCACATCCCCATTTTACACTTGAAAGAAGTGAGACCCACAGGGCACGTAATGAAGGCCAGCTGAGATTTGAACCCAGGTCTGTCTGACTCCATGTTCTGACATCCGTAAGATACATTTCCAAACAGTGAAAAGTGAAACAGATTTTATAGCCCCCGAAAGAGTAACCAGCTAGTACTCCAAAGGTTTTTAAACTGAAAATGAAGACTTTCCTTCCCAATGGCTCTATCCAACAGGCTCCTGATATTAATTCAATGCTTCTGTTCATAGACTATTTAGAGTCAAGGTGCCACAGACAGAGAGGAAGCAAGTTACGCTGGCAAGTTTCCAGGGGCTGGACAGAAATATGCACACTACCTCGGAACAAGCGAGATTAAAGTCCGGACGGCACTATTCATGCAGGCCTGCCCGACAGCTGAGCTGGGGCCTGCCGCCCACCAACTGCAGCGTCTCTGCTCAGAAATGCTTCTGATGTCAGCACCTTGACCTTGCAGACGCTCATCTTGGCAAATCTCAGCAAATACACATGAAATTAAATTCCTAAAGATTAGCATGAGTGAGTATTTGTTGACAGCGAAGCGTGGATACACAGGTGACTAATAAACTACTTGTCTGTTTCTGTGTATGGCTAAAAGTTTCCTCTAAAAATGTAAAAAACAAATAATTAAATCCTACTTACCTCTTAATTTTGACTAAGAAAAGTATAACGTATACTTAATATTTATGGATGGCACACTAGCCCAGAGATTAAAGCAGTTTCTCAGACTTTTCCACACCAGGAAGCCCTACCAATGCAGAAAACATGCAACACCCCCTTGGCGCCCTGGGGATGAACAGGCCTGGCTGCTTCAACAGTGATGCGAGTCCTCTCACCACAGCTAGATTAGCTTCACACACACACACACACAGTGTGTGGCTGTACCTCAAAACATACATTTGCTTTAATGTTAAAACATCCCCTTCTATCCAATCTCATCCCAGACCCAGGCCCCCAAACAGAACAGTTTACCACACACTCACCCCACCTGACTGCTGAAAGGTCCTGGACACGCGGCAAGCACAATCCCCTTCTTTTTTTTTTTTTTTTTTTGTAATTAACAAAATCACTTTCTTTTAAAATGGTGATCAATAATTGAAGTGCCAGCAATGAAAAGTTCATAGATATACTGAAATAACACTGGCCTCAACCCTGAACATAGTTTTTAAATACAGCAAGGCTTTGGTGGGGAAAGTCGTATTAAATTCAAATGAATGAAATTCAACAGGAAAAGTTAATTCACAAGGATGGATTCTGAAAATAATTTTTCCACATATGTTTTGTTTTTTTCCTATCCTTTCTAAAGACTTCAGAGAATAAAACATTATGAACAGACACCTAAATGTTTGAGAAAATGTGTCTTACTTAAAAAGAGAATTAATTTTGGAATGTTAGATGAGATAATCTATCGAAAACAGAGTTCATCCCACAACTGACACGAAAGCAGGTAATAAAAACAACCCGGGGGAGGCACAGCTCAGGGGCTGAGCACCTGCTTGGCATGCAAGAGGCCCTGGGTTCGATTCCCAGCACCTCCATCCAATCAGTAAATGAACCTAATAACCTCCCCCTCACAAAATAAAATCTTTAAATGATAATAAAACAACAAAAACCAGATGTACTCATTAAACACAAACTTATCATTCTTCCAAATAAATTATCTGTAACAGCTCTACGCAAGTAATTTGCAACTTGCCCCAAACTGTTTTTCAGTACCAAACCACATGGCACCACAAAATGGCGTATTTTTAAACTATGACCATATTTAAATTTTTAGTAACACAATTCTACTTAATGGCTGAAACAACATGTGCTCACAACAAAGCTCTACTTTCAGGTGAGATAAACGCTGGCCAAGATTCCATGCCCGTGTCTGCGGTCAGTGAGCAAAGGAAAGCTCAGGAACAATGAAAGGGGAGGCCCGTCCCGCAGTGACCAGGCCCAGAAAAGGAAGGGCTCTCAGAAGCAAAGGCCTCCCCTAGCTACAACTCCATCACAGACAAGGAGCCCTTGGGGGACAGGACTGCTTCTGAGGTGGAGCAGTAACGACACCCCGCCACGCAGCGAACTTCCGCGCTGGCGATGCAAAGGAAAGCGCGTCTCAGTACGCAGTAAGAGCAGGGCACACTCTTGTCCAGGGCTTACTTACTGAACATGAGAATATTTTGTTTTTAAGTAACTTTTTCTTCCTACAAAAATAACCACCCAAAGGTTAAGTTATTACTTAACTTTTGTTTACAGCTTTGCAATTTTTAAACGCAGTTATGCAATATTTATTATAATACTGATACTATCAACCCAACGTATTTCGTATTCTACTTTTCCTTCACACTTACGAAATAAAAAGACAAATTTTCAAAGACAAATGTGTTCTCACCAAATTTACCACTCAAAGACTTAAGAAATACAGAAAAATAAAGTGTGCAGCATGGTTACAGGTACGGCCACACATCAGATATCCTGGCTTTACCTCTCCTAAAACAACCAGCTTTTAAAGAACAAAATATACAGTAAGATACTGCCATCATTAAAAGATACCCAGTTTAATGGCTCCTCCATATGGAATCCCTGTAAGGACTTGAGATGAGCTTCGTAAACACCGTTCACACTACACACCATGGCTCCGAGGCACCAATTGGACAGAGCTCCCCAGAGGGTGATGAATATTAAGCACTGGCTGTACATTAAGAGAGGAGAGCTCTAGGCCAAGCGACAGAGCACCTCTCGAGGAATGAAACGCACTTGGTGTGTCCAAGACTCATCACCCGTCTGTTCACTCCTTTTCAGCACCAACTACCCGTCACACTCACTGAAGAGCAGGGGCCGTGGGGTGAGGGAGTCCCAGGGAGAAAAGGGGAAGTTCGCTCCCAGGACAGAAAACAGGAGGGCAGGCGAGAGGCATCGGTGAGCTTCTGTCGTCCTTACAACTGGGGAAGGCTCCTGCCTGCCGCCTCGGGCTCCAGGTCCACTGGCCACCCCAGGGCACCGTCGCCCTGCCCCCTCATCTCAGCACCTCTGCCTCGGGCACGGACAGGGCTCGGTTATATTTCTGTGCTACGGACGGGGCTGCAACACTCCAGAGGGGCAGCGAAGAGAGCGGCGGTAAACTCTCTGGAGTGTGAGTCTTCCTGAAACCAGGCCGCAGCTGACCGACCGACTCGTGAGCAGGACACTCTAAGACTATCCTGTGCACCGGGATTCGACATTAGTACAAACCTGAGACTTCTAAGAGCAGTGCCTCATGTATCCAAGATCACAGAGAATTAGGTTAATATCTGTTCATTTTCCAAGTGCAGCCAGCAAACACTTCTAATGAAACTTATTTCACATAAAATTTTCTAAAAGACGTGTTTCTAAGGCGATGACCAGACGAAGTGGTAACAGAGAGAGTATGTGGAAGCTACATAAACTCCCAGGGCCCCGGTCTCGCCCTGTGATGCAGCCGGGCTCTGCGGCCTCCGCGGCCTCCATCTGCCCACAGCCCTCCCCGGTCGTCCTGCCTGCCTGCCACGTGCTGCGGGTGGCCATCTGACCGGCACCAACAAACAGTTCTAAACTGACAACTTACATTTTCAGTAAGTCACAAAACAAATAGTAATATTTATTAAAACTACACCCCAAACAAGTTCTAACAGAAGTACCCTGCACGACCCTTTCTGTGGTCCAGAACCAGACTCTGACTGTTCAGATAAAGGAGTCAGGAAACCTGGGCTCTGAGAGGCCACGATTGACCACTTCAAGTACCTGAGGGCAAACCACTTCATCTGCCTGGGCCTGGGGTTTCTCATCTCTGCACTGCAGAACTCACGTGTGCCCTAAAGCACGCACACCAGGCAGTGCGTCCGGAGCCCGGGTGAGCGCAGCAGAGGCTCTGACGAGCCATCGTCAGAAAAGTACCCTGTGCCGGCTTCTCCAGGACCACTTCTGGATTGCTACCTACATTCCACCAAGATGAGTTCTCAACGGAAAAAACAAAGCCAAAACTGAAGCCGCAGGAGAGCAACGGAGGCGGCGCTCAGCACTGCGGCCTGGACTGCAGGTCAGCAACCTGAGGGACGGGTGCGAGATGCATCCCTGCTGTTTCAGCTGCTGACGAATCTCAAGGAGAAAACGTTAGCATGTAAAACAAGTAGAAGAACTTCAGGGAGGTCTCGAGGCCGCGAAGGAGGCTAAGGTTCCTTTCACTCAAATACTAAAACTTCCCAAGTCAACTCACTGGCTAACCTTAAGTAACTGCGGCCTCGCACCAAAAGCCTCAGAGCCGCACCAGTTTCCAGGAAAAGACACGAACTTCCTGACAGTGAAGCGACAGCGCCCCGAGGCTCTCCAGCTCACTGTCAGGAGAACAAGACGCCCAAACACTAACCCCAGCTGACAGAGCACAACGCTCTTGCTCAGAGAGGACTGTGTCCTGTAACAGCCTGGCTCTTGCCCCAGGAGCCTGACTACCAAGAATAAACTTCATGAAAGGCCGTCGCACACAAAGCGGCCTCCCAGCTGCCCCTCTAAGCAAACCTCAATGAGACCTGTGACAAGAGAGATTAAGCTGCCACCACGTCCAGGGCGGCACCGCTGCGGTCACGGGAATTTCTCACCCACTTCTCTCCAGCACCGCAGAGAGGAGGAAAGGAGGCCTAACGCTGAATTAAACAGCTCTAAGAGAGACTTAACTGATGCCTACTGCTTTCAAAGGAAACAGATTACGAATTTAGCCTAAGCATTAACTGAAATAAAAACTTCAGCCACCTTCCTTAGGAAGTGAGGTCTCCGTATCTATCCGTCTCCAAGAGCAGAGAGCAGGTCTGACTGCTGCAAACTGAGGGGAAGCGAGCAAGGAGGAGGACAGCCCGGGCTCAGGCAGGACACAGCCCAGGACCGAGTGACTGGACGAGAGTCACCCCAAGAGCCCAGCGCGGTCTAAGAGCACAGTCTCCTCAGGAAGCAGCTCGAACTGCTGGTAATGTGTTTTCTCAAAGCGTTTTCAGGGAAGCTACTACGTGCACAGTGTTCGCTCCCAGGTCCTGCATAAACACTTCCTTCTGACTCTCAATTCTCGAGCTGCTTGAAAGAGACAATGGGTCTCTGAAGACAGGGGGTGGGACCACGAGGGAGACCAGCACTCGCTGGGCGCCTACCAGGCGCCGGAGGCTGCCTCTCCTCTCCCAGGCATGGATATGAGCATGTTTCCTCCACCTACTAGTAAACCAACACCTAGAGAAGTCGAGCAGTCTGTTCAAGGTAGGTAGGTAGTAAACCTGAGCCAAAATCACAATCAGCGCTGTATGACGTTACACTGTCCCTAAACTTACTTAAATGAGCACAGGGGACACAGGGACCACCAAAGCCTGAACTGGGAAAGCAGGAGGGCGGGTAGAGTGCATGCAGTTTCCGGTCAAGCAGCCTGATGGCCACATCGATCCACAAGTGTGGGGAGAATGATTCATGAGAGAAAACCATAGTCAATTATCTCTTCACGTCAAATCTCTCTTAAAATCACCTTTATTAAAAAAGCTTCTAGCCAACATTCTATCAATGTTCTGATTTTAATCATTCTACTTTCTTACCCAACTTTTAAACCTGCCTCACTGCTACTCACGTCTGAGGCTAAGAAACTCTTCAGTAAATTCCTGAACCACTCCCACAAATTCTAACAGTCTGGGAGGAAGACAGAGAGGAAGACACACTAAAACGTCTTCCTGGTCCCTCACTTTCCAGACCTGCTGACTGAGTGGGTCTCCAGGCTGCAGGGTGAGGACGACAGGGCCCTCGGGGGCGCGGTGAACTTGCCGTGTAAACGCAGGAATACTTTCTGAGTTCAGTGTTTCCAGTGTGGCCACCAAGACAAATCCATCCAGCAATCTTGAGACTAAATTCCACCCCCCACTACCGACCACTACTGCAGAAGTTTGTAACCCTGTTAAGTAGAAATTTAACTTAAAAAAATTCTCCCTGCCTTGGAATACTTCATGAGGATATTAGATTCATCCTCTGCTCTCAAAGGGTACGCGCTGTGAGCAGGGCAAAACCTCTGTAACTAACAGCTGCATCTGTCCCAGTCGCTCTCGGAACATCAGTCACTTCACTGGCTCAAAAAAGCCAACTGCCAATTGCACTGGGCCTGCTTCCTGCAGTGGGTCGAGTTACCCACGGGAGACAGTCTTCAGGGTGCTCGCCCCCGAGGGTGGGGGCTCGGACCCCTTGCCCTCCGCATCCGGCCACCGAGAAGCCACCGGTGCAAGACGAGAGGAGGGCGACACCAACATCCCGGCCAACACGCCCCCCAAACTAACAGCCATGAACACACAGACCCCAGAGCTCCTGGCTAAGATCCTGGTTAAGTTAAATCCTGGCCTCATCGCAGTGAGCTGGATCCCCTTTACTGCAGGTCATCAAATGAAGCAACACGTCCTTAAGCAGAACCCACGATGTGAAGGGAACCTGACTCAGAGCAGTGGGGGCCAGGGGACTATTTCCAAGCAGCAGCCCCAGTTTGAAACCTTCCTCTGCTTGCTCTGGCGAGTGCCAGCTCCCCTCATTTTCCCGCAGCCCCCAGGCTGCGCATGTGGCCTCAGTGAGTCAGCAAAGGCTCACAAACCCTGCAGCACGCAGCACTCACACGACAGGGCAGACAGCCCCAGGGCCCAGCATCTCAGAGTCAAGCTCCCGTGAGACCCCAGCGGCTGTGGCTGTGGCGGAAGCACTCTGAGCGCATGTGATTAACACCAACCATTTTCACCCCAAAACTTTTAAATGGCATCTTATCTGGGGACTTTTCAACAGAGCTCCTCACTACATAAAACAAAGCCAAAATAACTCAGAAAACGTAACGTGGGGAGGGTGTAGCTCAAGTGGTAGAGCTCATGCTTAGCATGCACCAGGTCCTGGGTTCAATCCCCAGCACCTCCTCCAAAGATAAGTAAGCAAACCAAATCCCCCCAAAAAAAATTTTTTTAAAGAGAAAAAAAATGTAATGATTCAAACACGCACATTTGTGAAGTTGTCAGTTTTACATAAACAACTAAATTTTACAAAACTATGGTTAAGTGAAAGGAACAAACGCCAGCCTTGAGACTAGAAAAGCACCGCAACTGCCCTGTCCAGTGTGGCCGCCAGGAGCCGCCTGCGGCTATCTGGACTGAAATAAAATGCAATTACAATCAAACAAAGAAAAAGTCAGTTCCTCAGTCACACCAGCCACATTTCAAATCTTAAAAGCAGCATGTGGCCAGTGCAGTGGCCACACACTGGAGAGCAAGGACATGGAACATCTGGATCAGCACAGGAAGTCCTAGTGGACAGCACGCCTCTCAGGGGAAGTCTGCCACAAGAGTGGCACAGGACACGAAAGCCACCAAGTCCAAAATCAGAGTAAATCCTGTGTCTTGTCTGTGTGGGGTTCACTAGTACACATAACTGCCACAACTCACAGAGGCGTACATTCCAAATGGATGCAGTAATGCATGTAAATTATTCCTCAATAAAGTTGATAAGGAAAAAAACAGACACATGACCACTGGCGAAGTCCAAAGGAAAGGCAGCCAGCACTCGGTATGCACAGGGTCAGTGCCAGCCAGAGCGCAGGCTCATGCGCGTGGGTGCGGGGTGCGGGGGGGATACCCGAGCCCCTGCAGGAGGAAGGCGGCAGCGCATGCAGCCCTCCTAAAATGCGCCGCTACATCCCAACCCCAAACTGCCAAGTGAACTGCACAGATTTCCAGGATCACACCACTGACCGAAGGGCCACTTGAGAGAAAACTCATAAAGAGCTGTAAGATGCATAGCCTCACACAGGTTTTTAAATGAGCAAAGAAAAACCGGGAAAGGGAAAAAACTACCCAAAGTGTTTAAAGATACAATACCTGAGAATCAGAACAGCCAGGTACTGCCAACCCTAATTCTACATGAGTTAAACTATCACCCAGCTGATAAAAGTCAACAGTTCTTGAGGGGAGGGTGCAGCTCAGTGGCAGAGCACGTGCTTAGCACGCACAGGGCCCTGGGTTCAACCCCCAGTCCCTCCAGCAAAAATAATAATAATAATAATAATTAAATAAATAAACCTAATTTAACCCCCTCAAAAGAACAAAAAAGTCAACAGTTCTAACCAAGAATCACAGCTGGTCGCTGACAACAACCCCAGGCCCTCCTGCTTCTGACAGAGTGGCCACTACCAGCCCCGCTCCAGACGGGCTAGTTCTCACAAGGAAGACAGCAGCCCGCAGGGGGAAAGCCGATCAGGCCCCCAGAAGACCCGGGCCAGAGCGAGAGCCCCCGCCTCCGCCCCGCTGGCAGGACCGATCACTGCAACATCCAGCCACTTCCACGTCGGGCGTCACTCTCTACTTTACTCAAGTACGGCCATTACCACCAGGAGCTGTCACAGGTTTACTGAAAATGGAGGGGAGTGTTCAACAGAAAGGAAACGGTTAAGAACATTATGGCACATTAGTTACGGTATTTTACACCATGAAATGCGATCATGAAAACTACATGAGGTTTGTGAACTTACGGTGATGAACACTGGTAACATGGAAAAACAGAACCAAAGGGAACAGCAGAGTGCACTCTGCAGTATGTACACGTATCAACAAGGACTGGAAGAAACACAAACAAGCGGAAACGGCTTGGGTTCTCAGGCTGTGCGTTTTTCTTTCACGTAGACACCCATCACTGTTGCTGTAACGGCATTTGTGTAACACAGTAAAACTTTAAACATTGACAAAGGTAGCACACTTACCACAGTGGGGCTGCCACTGCTTATCAACTGGCTGACTTCATGAAAAATGCTTTTGCAGTCAATTGATTTATCTAACGATCCTCGTTTTACAATTACTGCTACTGCTAATAGAATCTGTTCCCGAACATACTTTTGGAGGCTGTAAAACACAAAAATCATTGTGAAAACTTTTACATCAATCCAATATAAGAAAACTCCCAAATTTCTCACTGTGCCTGAAACTATAAGAACACGGCTTACACCTAAGGGTGGTATGCCTACCAGCTATGCCCTGACTCCAAAGCCAGAAGACCTGGGTTCGAATCCACACTCCATGATTTACTGGCTATGTGACCCTAGGCAAGACAGAGCCTCAGTTTCCTCATCTGTGAAATGGGGATAACAGTAACAGGGTTGTCACAAGAATTAAATATTCTTAAAAGCCCACACAGTGCACACTAAGTACCATGTAAGTATTAGCTGCCTCAGGCAATGTTCAGTAGCTGTAAGTCAGTTCACTGAGAGCCAGAGTAAGATGCTACCAATTAAGACGTAAGTTCTGACCCAACATCCATCTTCAACCAGTAATATAATCTTAAATCTGTTCTCTTTAACATGAAAAAGCAGCACGCTAGCTTAAGATACAAAATTATGGAAATAAATTCTTAAAAACTTTTGTAAATTTTCGTATCTCAACTCCGTTCCTCAGCGCGGCAGCAGAAGCAAGTCTCAAAGGGAGGGGTTCTGAGAAGCCCTTTAGACCACAACGGCTTTCCACAAGGGGGTCCTCAAAGTAAGACTCGAAAAACATCACCCTGAACTTTTTAACGCAGCCTCTAAAATGCCACAAAGATGCGACAACCATGTACCCTTGGGATAAAACCGGAATTCCTCAACCTGGCTTATGAGCAGTGGACCCAGCTCAGCCTTCTGGGACACTCCCAGGCCACCAGCTCTCCCGCCCAACTTCCAGCAGTGCTTGCTTTTACTCTGAAGAGTGTCCCCATCTGGACATAAACGATATGGCCACCCGCCTCTAAAGCCCCTCATGGCCAGGCACCTGCTCCCCTCGCACCCCAGTCTGCGTCCACGCAAAACTGCGCCACCAGTTCCTTCAGTTCCGAGGCCGATGGTCTCCAGGCCCGAGCGGCTGTGTGCTCGGCCAGGACTGTGCCACCCCTGCAGAGATGCTCCTGTGACAGCCCCTCTGCATGCAGCTGGCGGTCACAGGAGGGCTCCCATCACCACGGGTGTCCTGCTGTCCCCACCAGACCGGCTGCCATACTAAGCTCGTCCACGGTCACAGGCACTTACCAGACACTCACACACATGGACAAACGTGTCACGCTCTGTCACGAATGAAGAAAAATGGGAGGCAGAGCTCAGTGGTAGAGCGTGTGCTCAGTGGGCACAAGGTCCTGGGTTCGACCCCCAGCACCTCCACTGAAAAAAATAAGTCAATAAATAAACCTAACACCCCTCCCCCAAGAAAAAGAATGAAAGAACAAAACACTCCTTCAAAACACAAACGTGAAGGATTCACTCTGCAAGTGAATGCAGAGGCCCCACTCTGGGCAGGGACGCAGCGGCATCCAGCGCCCCGACCAGGCTCTGTGTCTCTCCACTGGCGGGAGCTACAGATTATCAGGAGAGCCTAACATTTATTGAGTGCTTGTGACCTGCAAGTCTCTATATAAACTAACTCACAAAGACACATTTAATCTCCACAACCTTCTGACTTAAGTACTATCACTGCCTCTCATTAACAGCCAGGAAACGGGTACGCAGGTCAGGCAACCGGCCCGCGGTCGCGGGGCCTGAGCGGCAGAGGGGCGCTCCTGCCGCTTCTCAACTGCTGTGCCCCTGTCTTCAAGAAGCAGGCCCCGCACTGCACTCCATGCAAACGTCATCACGCTGGGGGGAAAACAGAAAAGAAAAAAACACCACGCGTTTAATGGGACGGAGGTGGGACCCACAGCACACTTCCCGCCGTACCCGCCTGCCTAGGCGGCCGGACGTTTCAACCCTGCTCCAACCCATTCTGTGGGATGTTCTACAAGGTGAAGACGTCTGTGTCACGGAAGACCAAAAAAGGCAGAATGATTCTAGATGAAGAGACACGACAATTAAATACAACGTGTAATCTCTGGTTAAATCCTGGATCAAAAAAATAACCTATAAAGGAGTTAACATAGCAATTTCATCAAGACTCGAGATCACCTCTTAGGAGGGGCCTGCTGAAGCACCACTGCCCCTGCAGCTCCCTGTCAGCTGGCTGGGGAAGTGCTGGCACAGACGAGAGGGAGCAAACGTGACAGGACACTAACTGAGCCTCTGTCAGGGGAAGGGCGTGCAGGTTCACGGTTCTGCTCTTTCAAAATAAGAGGTTAGGAGGAAACATGTAAGTGAACTATTTCAATGGGGAACCCTACAATCAACTCAAAACTATTATGGTGAGATCACTGTGGCTAACAGAAGCGCCCGCGTGCACGCACACCACCATCACCTGTCAGGCACGTACGTCCGAGCCCTTGGCTCCGGGCGAGTGTGCGTGGGGCTGGGCTGTGACACTGGAGCAGCCCCAGGGCAAGTTAGCACCACACCCAAGGGCTCATTAGACAAATTAAAACTCAAATAAAGAAGGAAAACCAGTACGAAGAGGAGGAAGGTTTGAAACAGGAGCAAGTTTTCCTTATCCTGGTAGAACTGGAAGGAGATAAGCCCCTCCCCTGACACACGTATGCCCACTCACCCACGGAGCATGTCAGCCACCGATCTGGCGCTGTCACCCTTGGCCCTGTCTCTTGTGCACCTTTCCACACGTAAAGCACTTACCAGCACTTCGCCACACACCAGCCTTGCCAGTAAGTACTGTTAAGTATCATGGACCCAGAGGCTGATAGTGAGGGCAGCAGGGACAAAGGCTCAACAGTGCGCGCTGGCTCATTTTAGACAGTTTATGCATGTTTATTGCCATCATTCGTCATTCCTAACTACCAGCATTTCTGACCCTGCAACTTTTAACTGAACTTGAAAATAATTACCTACCCCAAAAGTATTCAACTGCACAAACACGATGCACACTGCCTCTTCCTAGCAAAAGCTTTGGCATTTAGGGGACTTTTAAAAAAAAAGATACGCAGTCAGTGAATTTCTCCCACAAGTTGTATGGCTAACCGTTCTCCTCACTGGTTTATGAATCACACAAGCAATGAATGCGCACAACCTTGTGAAACGTTAAACAACACAATGTGTACAAGGCAAGGAAACACACTCTCACCCCACTCCCAAGCCTGGTGCCTCCCCAAAGGGGACTGTCAGAGAAGCCGGGGCTTTTCCTTCCGCAGCCGTTGCAGTGCCCGTGTGCAGGCACACGTCCGCGCCTGGAGGTCTGTCGCTGCGCCCGAGCTCCCCTCGCCCGTCGGGGACGCTCACCTATGCCTGACGGCGCTCCCCAAGAACAAGCAGCAGCACAAGCACGTACAGAGGACTTCAGGCTGTTCTACCCTCTTTTCCTTCTCTTTTGCACTCAAGTAGTCCATTTACAACGCTGGGCCAACCTTCACTTACAACCAGAATCTCCAGAACAGGACACTTCTCAAAGGAACGAAATCCAGTGTCAGAAACGTAAATAACAAGTATTTTTCGCCAAAACAGCCTACAACCAGGTTGTCTGCCTTTACGAAATATGAGCCCCACACAGGGCCTAACCGTGTGCATCAATCACCGAAAAGCACAGAAAACCTCTGGGAAGGGTAGGCCCGGCCAAGTACCCCCCCACCGCCCCACGCCCCAGCCCCGCACCTACTTGGGCCTCTGGAGGACGTAGGTCAGCAGGAAGGTGCGCAGGGACTCGACGCTGCCTTTCTCCAGGAGGATCCACTCCCGCACAACCGCCTCCATCATGGCTGTGGCCGCTTGGAACAGGACGTAGTCCACCTTGCTCGTCTCTGGGGAGAAAACGAGACGCTCTCCTTACCAGCCGCTCGTCCTGCCCTCAACGCTCTGCGGTTATTAATTTTAAAGAGAACTTTCAGACAAGGAAGGAGATGGTTACCTGGTCCTTTTTTATCCAGTGACCTTGCTCTAGCACCACAAAGAGGTTAGTTCCTCTCAGAAGACACCTCAGGCAGGTGGCAGCTAATCACCGATCACAATTTCACAAACTTTCCTCACCTCTCTTCAACTGTTACTTCCAAAGCATGAAGAACTAAAAAATAACACAGCTTTAAAAAAATAAAGTAAAAATAGAAAGCAATCAGAAGATTTCCCGAGAGATTCTCACCCTGTGCAGAACAGAACTGTGTGTCTGCAAAGTGTCCACGAAACCAGGCTGCAGGCGTGACCGTCCGGGACGAACGGTGCCACCAGAGCGCCTGCTTCAGTGACTGCGCTTCCGCAGGGCGGCCCGCCTCCAACAGCACGTTCAGAAACAAACACAGTCATGTGCAGGGGCTTTCTCCTCAAAATGTTACCCAAAAAAAAAAACAAAAAACAAAAAACAAAAACACCACCAAAAGTCACAGTTACACAAGGTGAGAAGTTCTTGTGAATTTTCTGATTGCAATACTGATCAAACTGAGCAAAGCCCCAAAGCTACACTTAGAAAGATCCAGCTTTGACTAGCAAGTTACAGCATCTGAACTAGAAACTGAGTCAGAAAGGGAAAGAAATAGAAAATTAACATAGCAAAGAATAGTTTTACATTAATTTTCTATTTTTTCTTTTATTTACCAATACCACTAAAATCAGTTTCCAAACAGCGTAATAAAAAGGGATAGACAGGCAAAATGAAGTCAAGGAACAGCAGAAATTTCCTGAAGCTCTAGAACACAACCACCATGTGAAACCCACGGGAAAGTCCAATTCAACTCCAGGGTATTCGCCAAGCTCGCTAGACAGGGGAAGCCGTGAGAAATACCTCCAGGCCCAGAACAGCACCTTCAAGAACACGTCAGAAGAGCAGGAATATGCAGTCAGGCACAGCACTCTCTCTCCTTTCCAAGCTCAGATCTTCTAAAAATCTTACAAGGGATCTTGACACAACTGGCTATAAAAATGTGCAAGAAAAGGTGCGCCCCACACAAGCTCCAATCACACTGACAACCACAGAGGAATTTTCAACATGTCAAAACCAATAAGAGGAACTGATTTGAACCTTCATTTTTTTTTAAGTCTGATTAGTCCATGCTACTGTAACATGAATTCTGAACTCAAAAAAACTTAGAAACCTTAAAACACAGTGAATAAAGCAATAGATTCTAAAAATCTAAATCAATTATAAAAAGGAGAAAAAAATTAGTGTTTTCTTCAAAGAGGACATGAAACAGAAACCAGCTATATCTATTTAGCTCACTTACGGAGAAATATGGTACTGCTTCATAAAGGAAATTCAAATAATCTCTTATTATAAACCTCTTCTTGAAAGAAAATGATAGTGTTTGCCTACCTTCATCTTCTGCTACAATAGTCAACATTTTAAGGACCTGAAATGCTTAACCATGGATTTTAACAAGGAATCAAAATCTCAGGGACTCACAGAAGTTTAGAAATGCAACTCCAAAGATGATCTAATTGGACTCCTGTGTTTTACCGCTGAAGAAACAGATGCACCAAGAGACTGAGCGGAAACTGGCAGCCGCTGGCTGGGCCACATCCTCCGGGCGACATGAACCCACCTTCGGTGCAGGTGCCAATGCAGATGGCACCCGCAAACACTACTGCTTCTTGTGAGAATGAAACGTGCTTCTGTCTAATTCCTCGGCACATATCCCAGTCTTTTTTTTTCTGCTCCCTCTTTTTTCCCCCGTGGGAGTCAGTAGGGGGAAAATTACAGAAGCTAAGTGACACTGAGAAGTTTTCAAGAGACATCTGCTCCTTAGATACCTCTGGTATCAAATGAAGATCACTAAATTACTGCTCCCGTAAAAAGTTGTGAATCTTCCTAACCTAATAAACTATATACTTCCTCATAAAAACTACTACTGGCCTTCCTAACCTGCACTTACACGGAACAGAACTGTGCAACTGCGCACAGGGCTCGGGGGCCCTCCTGCCGGCCACCGGGGTCCCACACGTGCGGGAGCCTTACTCCTGCTCTCTGCTGTGTAGACGTTCAAAGTGGCAAGGTCTTCATGAAGAACTCACAGTTCACCTAGAATTTCTAATACTTTTAGGGATGATTTTCCACTGACTAGGACACTGTCTAGATGACAAATTAGCTCAGGCCACTTGAGCAGGAAGCCTTCACTTCCTACCACAGAAACCTTAACAATAACCATGTAAATAAAATTCACTTGTATCCTGTCAGTCATCTGAAACCAGACAGAGCCATGAAGACCAAGGTTCAAGGGAAGTGAGTGACCAGAGGAGGAGCACCACACTCTGAGGTCCAGCGACCACACACCCGCGTCCAGCCTCAGGACCCTGTCCACGTAGGGGCCACGTGAGCTGCACAGTGACCCATACGCACGCCAGCAGTCAGGGGTCTCAGCCGATTCTGTTTTGTCTTGGTTACTTCTGAGATAAGAAACAAAAGAAATCCTCTTCTCCCTGAGAGAAGGGCAAGAGAAAGCTGCGAAGTTAACTGCAGAAGTGCTGGACCAACCCCTCGAGGTCTGGGGACATATCTTAACAAGAGCAGAACTCGCTGGTTTTTTGAAGAAACATGTGACCCTACACAATACCAGTAAATGCCTAAGCGCCAAAGGCTTCCGCGGTGACGACGTCTGGAAGTGCCCTCCGACAAAACGCACAAGCACACGACACATGCACACACACACACGCACACGCACAGAGAAGAGCAAAGACACTGAGACTGGAATGGAAACCAAAGGCTAAGAAGAGAAAGAAATGAGGAAAAATGAGAAACAGAACAAAACTTAAGTTAGAAGTGAGAAGAATTTTAAGAGGCCAGCCAAGGGAAGCATCCAAGAGAAAGTCTCCTCTTTCCTCAGATCCATTCCCCAGACACTCTCTTAACGGCCCAGAACCCCGAAACAAGAGTGTGAAAATTCTGAATTGCGATCAACTGCCACGTGCATGAGAAGTCTTCTTAGAGGAATTAACCCTTCTGTGCTGGTGGCAACTGAGTAAGGAGTGAAAAGATTTCCTGTGAAGTTTAGATGTAAACATTAACGTAACAAGGGCTTTGCAGTATGTAACGATTATGCTCGTGGCACGTGCACTCGACCGTTTAAACAGTTCACGTCTCAAAACCCAAACTGCTTTCAACAGCGAGGCTAAAACTAGCAATACCGGTCTTTAGAAATTTTTATCAGGGAGCCAAAAGTATTCCAAAGCAAGCTCAAATCATAACAAAGCAACAGTTCTTCATAAAATATACATACTCTTGAAAGGAGAGAGTGGGATAAACAAAAACACTCTAATAACATACTTATCACTTAGACAAGGACTCCCCGACTAGGACAGAAGTACAACTGAATCACGGCTGGAGTCGGAGGCGATGCTGGTGGCCCTGGGACTGCTGTTATGGCACCTGCCCCGAAAGCCAGACTCGGACCATCGGAGGTTCCTACGACCACTAACGCTGAACAGCTTCAAGGCAGTAAGGATGAAAAGCAAGGCTCCCTGAAATTCTCTGTAGTGACGTTTAGTAATTTAACACTGAGTTAAGTATTCTCCATGCATAAGATAACACATTTTCTTAGAGCCAGAACCAAATTCAACCAAGTATAAAAGCTGACTTAAAAAAAAATTCAAAACTGCCTCATTTAGAATTCAAGGTGGTTACTGAAACTGTTTCTCTGACGGGAAGATCGAACTCCTGGATGAGACAGAGCCGCCTTCCATGCCGCCACTCGCTCCGTGCGTTTTTTAGGTACACTGGATTTTTAAAAGGCCACTTGAAATGGGGAGACGGGGTCACAGTGTTGACTTTACTGTTCCACAAAGTGCCCTCCCACATTACTACATTTGCACCTCGCAGCATCTCAAGGTAGTCAAGTCCACTTAAGAAAAATGGTATCGTTACCCTCCATCACCGATGAACAAAAGGCTCAGCGTGGCCCCCCAAGCTGATGCAGGCAGCAGCAGCCCTGGTGCCCCAAGCCCAGGTCCCTGCACCCTCCCCTCCCTCCCCTCCGCCTCCCAGCCTTGCCACAAGCCCTCAGGTGTGAGGAGTCCTGGACACGGAACTGAACTGCAGGCTTCTTGATCTGGAGACCAGAGCACTGGCGGCTAACGGCCTTCCTCGAAGCACAGGAACAAAAGGCCGGACATGTCTACTCTAACACCCAGTGACCAGTTCTGTGCTCGTGGGTAACTCAGATAGCCTTCCTTTCGGAGCCTTCGATATGGGTTATAAAAAATGGCTCCAGTTAAGAAAAACAGCCGACAATAATAAAGTTATAAATTAACAATAACCAAGGAAATCTCTCTATTAATAAAAAATATGTAAGAGAAAGTGCCATCTTTGGACAAGTTACAACTTTTGCGATTATTTTTAAAGGAAAGAGATCATTTCTGTACTTGTGTCAGATGTAAGGGACTCACAAAGCATCTTCTACAAGAGTGAAAATCAGTGCTTCATTTCAGGGCGTGAAGTGAGTAATCTACACAGAAGTAAGACTCGCTAAGTGGGCTGAGTGCAAGCCATATGGTTTAAAAATTTTTTTGAAAAAACAACTAAAAGAAACTCTAGAAACCTCCAAAAATACGCCTAACTTTAAAACACTGGGATACATTACAGCACATTTTCTACACGTGATGTCACACATGGGAACAAATTTTAGGAAATCAGATGCTTCCCTACCGCTAACAGCCTTCACACTACACCAGTAATAAATTACTGCACAGTATTAACGGGCAAAAATCCAAAGTGAAAACAAAGATTTCTGTCTGGCTTTATGGAGTATCTTAAAGCCACTTCAGCAGAATGACTGTTAATGGAAATTACTTACAAGGAATTTAAAATATCTAACATTCAAGATAGAAACACTAGACATTGTTAAAGTAAACACTTACCCAAAATGTGCTTGCAAACTGCAAAGGGTGACTTTGACTTCCTGAAGGACAGGAAGATGTGCTCAGCGTGCTGGCGCTGCTCTGAGTTGACCATGGACGGCGGGGCCTGGAGTCAGAACACAGCACAGGCATGAGTCAGCGAGGGACCTGGGCAGCAGCCCTTCACACGGCAGGAGGAAGCACCAGCACTCCGGGCCGTGGGGAGGCCAAGTGCCTGCTTAATTGTTCTATAAGCTACAGTACAAAACTTCATCATAAATACTTAAAGTAGAGTTTCAGGGAAAAGGAAGGCATTCCTGGCAAGGTCTGGGTCAGAATCCTTTTAGGTTGCCTACATTTTAGGAAGATAGGCACTCATCTAACATTTCTTAGGGGGTGGGTGTAGCTCAGTGGTAGAGTGCCTGCCTAGCTCGCACAGGTCCTGGGTTCAGTCCCCAGTGCCTCCACGTTAAGTCAGTAAGTAAATAAATAAATAAACCTAATAGTTCCCCCCCCCAAAAACTAACATTTCTTGTAATTTTAAAAAAACATAGCTAACTTATTGCCTTTTATTCCAAAATATACCACTCCATATAAATTGACCAAGTTCAAATAATTTCTCAATTCTTCAGCACGGGTGAAACTGAATCCAAAGTTAGTAAAAATTTATTTTTAAAAGCAACTTAAAGGAGTCTACCTTAAAGATAGAAATATTATCAGATAAATCTACCTCAAGTTTTCTAAAAACATTATACCAGAAAAATTAGGAACAGTGAAGTCTGTAAGTTATAGAACTCTTTTCTGAATAATAAATTAATCAGCCAGAAAAGCCAGCTTTCTCTTAGAAACATCTTCTAAAGTCTGCCCAGGTTTTTACATTCCATTTTGTTCTAATGCTTTTTCTTCCAAAGATGACGCTCTTCTGAACCAGGCCCACCCAAATCATGCACTCTCGTTCTATGGGCGGGTTCTCCCTGACCCTGTTGGGACCCATCTGACGAGAAGAGACTGCCTGTAGAGCTCACAGATCAAAATACCAGGTTTCTCAACTTGGGCGGGACGCCGGGGGTGGACGGCAGGGGAGTGAAGCCCTGTCACTGTAACCAGTACGCAGTGGGGTAGTCCCTTCATCTGCGTGCAAAGAATCCGGAAGATGAAAAACATTTTACAACCAAGTACACGAGGCCAATGCTCACTGTAAGTTATGTCAGCTTTGCAGCACTAGTCACTCTATTTTCAGTTAAAATAATTTTTAAATAAAAAGTACACCTAAGAGAAACTAACCTCCATTCTCCGGCCTAAAGGAATTCTTATAATCAGCCAAAGGCAGTTCAGACTACTATTCCTAATGATACAGCACCCTCTACAGCTCTCTAAATAAAAATGCAAACATTTCCACTAAAGAACTGCATTACACAGATACGCAACAAGGACATACGGTGCAGCCCTGGGGAGTGTACCTGCTACCTTGTAACAACTACCCTGGAGGCTACAGTCCGCAAAAAATACACCTGCAGCTAAGATAACATTCTAAATCAACTATATTTCAATTAAAAGAAGAACAGTGTTAAATGCTTTAATACTTTAAAAAAGGCTTCATTAATAAAATCCTGTGAACCGCAAATTATGCTAAATATAAATATTTGTGTCCTTCCATTTGCAAATTCTTCATTCCCACCATTTTCCCCAGTTCAACAAGCTGAGTCTGCGTTTTGACAAGGTATTTCCTCATTAATGTCTGCTGACCATGCCCTGAATGCGTGGCATATTAACCACTGCCACCAAGGGTTACACTCTGATGACTACATCACGTCAACTGTGGGCTGCCCACCCAGGGAACTTCTGAATCATTCATGTTTCTTCTCACCTCCCAGGAGAAGCACTACACACGCATAATTTCGCAAATATATACGTTGGTTATTCTACAAATGAAAACAGTTCCCAAAGTGAATGATTTCTAGACACTCTGATACCTACACACTTAATAGGGTATAGGCTTGAATATAATTTTAATATAATAAAAAAAGACATTCATTTAAGAAATACCATATTTCATAAATAATGAAGTATAATCTAAAAGTTAGTTTATATTAACCACCTGGCTGAATATTATCATACAAACAATAAAATCATCAAGTCAATATGTTAAATGGGAATATGGTATTCACTTTAGTTTCCCAAACTAAAACCTTAAATTCTTTCTTCTTCAAAATGACTTCACAATGGTTTCAAGTAGCAGGGTATCAGAAAGTCCTGAGAAACTTTTTTTGTTAAGAAAACAGATTCCCAGCCCCCAAAGATTTAACAGGTTGGGAGTCAAAACCAAAATAAAAATGTATTTTTCCCAAGAGGTCCCCAGGGAGCACTGACCGAGAGAGTCCCCCACAAGTCGGACTCCCTCCTCTTCAGAATCGGGACTCACCCTTCAAAACCACTTCCCTCCCTCCTCGGCCACTTCCCTCCCTCCTCGGCCTTCCCTGAGCTGACCGCGGCGCCCCCGCCCAGCCCGCAGCCCGCAAGACCCACCCATCACGAGCACTTCGAGTCTGCACGCACCCCTTCCCGTCGCACTCACCCCTTCCCTTCCCCCGTTTCTGCAGCTCAGAGGCTTTCTCTCCCTGCTCCCCAGGTGCCTGGGGCCTGGCGCACACACCAGGCAGAGGCAGCAGCAGGAACCGCCACTCACCGCGTACGCGGCAGCTCGGGGGATGCTCGCAGCAGGCAGGCCGCAGGCAGGCAGCAGGCAGGGTATGATCTCACTGACCCCAACCACAAGCCTCTAGGGGGGATGCGAGTACCACCCGACTCACAGGTGAGGACACAGGAGTGGGGAGGAGCTGCTCACTGCCAAGCAGGCAGCACAGGCGGAAACTGACCTCAGGCCTCAAGTCTCCACCAGGGTCTCCCCTGAAGCGAAGGTGTGGGGTAGAAAGGGGACACGTCTGCCCGCAGAGTCCTCCTCCGGGACCCAACACAGACGTCAGGATGCGTATAAAGCGTGTGACCCCCCCCCGTGTCACTTCAGAGGCGGGGCACAGGCCGGGGCAGCAGCAGGGGCGGCCCAGAGGGCCGGGCCCCGACGGCGGGAAAGGGAAGGCAAGACCGGGAAGGCCGAGCTGTGAAGGGGCCGCACTAGCACAGGCGGAAAGCTCCCGAAGCCCAACCTGAAGGGAAAACGGTTCATGAGCAATAGAACAAGTCAAGCTCCACAGTGACCTCAGAAGCACACAGTGAAGCAACGAGCTGCTGCAGCTGGCTGACCAGTCAGACAAAAAGGCAGCACAGACACAAGGACACAGGGAGTCTCAGCTACTCTGGGCAGTTGCAAGCCGGCGACAGTCTAGAAGGAGACACTCACGGGAAATTCAGAGTCATCTAGAAAAAGTTCATGCTCCTGAACAGGGGTATGCACAAGTCACTGCAGCATTTAGTCCCAGAGAATGGCTCCCCCACACACACAGAAGGCACACAAGAATGTCCCTCAAGGATTATAGTAACAGAAAAAAAAAGTAGCAACTCAAATTTCTACCTATAGGGAATACCCTGCAGATGGCTTCTGCAGCAGTTAAAGACTGAACTCGAGCTGTGTGTACCAAGGCGAATAAACTGAAAACTATTCTGCAGGAAAGCAGCAAATGACAGGACATAATATCATATATCATTTATGTAAAAATGTTAAACTCAGTAGTATGCGCACTATGTTATCCACCTTTGTGCGCAAAGTGTAAAAACATAGAAAGGCAGGATAAACGACTCTAAAAGTGTGGCTGTCTTTGTGGACGAAGAAGCAGAGGCTGAAGAAGGGGCACAGGGGCCAGAACGGCATCTGTACGCTCCTTAAAGATCACAAGTAAAACGGCCACGTTAACACTGCTAACCCAGGGCTGGGTCCGCGGCATGATATGCTTCATTCTAAGTTCTTTGCCACCTATTTTAAATACTGCATTTTTTAAAATGAGCGGCCTTCCAACCCCGATGGTACCGCTGACTAGATACCTTGAACAATTCTTCTGCTAAAACCAAATAAAAATACTGAATAAAAGACTTTTTAAAAAACATAATGCACTGCTGAGCACACAGGAAAGTAAGGAGTCCTCAGAAGCTACAAAGGGAAGCAAAAGCAGGATCGAGAGATGGAAACATGTGCACGTGAACTCACCCTGGGGACGAGGGCTGCCCCAAGTGACCCTGCGTGTCGTCTGGGCAGCCGCTGGACAGCGGCCCACGGTAGAGAAGACAGGAGGCGGAGCCAGGCCCTCCTGAGATGCGGCCTAACAGCACATCCCATGTGAGGCTGGGTCCCCAGTATAAGGGTAAACTATTCAAAATAAAATAAGGCAGGCAAGGAGGGAAGGGAAAGAGGGAGACACCTGCCAGTCCGGACCCTGAGGGCAGGTGAAAGAGGGGATTTATTTTGGACACTGATAATCGCGAGCAGGCCTGCAAACGGGCTTCTCACTCAATTCTACAGGACCCCGTGGGGTCCAAACACTTTAACCCAACAAGTGGAAAGGAGTCCTGTGCTGCTCAAGCACCAGGCACTAGAGTAACACCTGATTCCAGACTTCACTTTCCCAGAAACCTTCCAAGAGCCAATATCCAAAAACTTCTAAGCATATGAGGAAACAAGCCACCATAAATTCACAGATCAAAGAATCAGCCCAGCAGCACTCACAAATATTGGAAATGCCAGAAACGTAGTATAAAATGTTTAAAAGGAAAACTAAAAACATATAAAGCAGACTTCATAAAAAATAAAAACCTCTGTACATCAAATGGCACTATCAGCAGAGTAACAGACAACTCACAGAGCACGTGTTACAAACCCTCCGTCTGCTGAGGGATTAATACCCAGAGTCTACAAAGCGCGCTTACAACAGCAACAAGAAAGGGGCCCAATCAAACATGGCAAAGGACTGAACACACACTCCTCCAAAGAACACACACAAAAGGCCAGCAAGCACACGACAGAGCCTCAAAATACTAATCATTTGGGAAATGCAAATCAAATCTAAAGTAAGACAGCACTTCACACTCAGGAGAACATAAACAAAGAAAAAAACAGAAAATGACTACTGCTGGCAAGCATGTGGAGAAACTGGAACCCTTGTCCACTGCTGGTGGGGATGCAAAATGGTGCAGACTTAAAAACAAAAAACAAAACAAAAAAACCGCAGCCATGGAGAACAGCCAGGCAGTTCCTCAAAAAGCTAAACATACAAGACAGCGCTCCAGCTTGGGAGAGGTACTCAAAGAACAGACAGCAGGACACAGAGGGTGAAACCCATGCTCAGAGCAGCGTCATTCACAAAAGCCAAAAGGTGGAAACAACCAAGAGTCCACCGATGGATGAATGGATAAACAA